ATGATAGCTAAAAGTGAAGCACGCTGCGAGGAATGCCAAGAGCCATTAATGGTCGCATATGAGGTGGAAAGATGTGCGACATTTGTAGACACTGAAAAATGTATTGTGGGGAGGATTGTGACATAGAATTACCGAAAAATTACCGACCAATAACCTGTTTAAGCACAACATACAAAATTCTTATCACCATACTGACAGAAAGAATATATCATTACCTAAATCAAAAAGAAAGGCTGTAAAAGAGGGTCTCACGGTTCCAAAGATTAAATGTTGATCAAATAAATGTTTCTGGAAAATTGTAAGACTAAAATAATTAAGTACGACATGGGTAGACTACGGGAAGCCTTTTGGTAGTGCCCCCCACAGCTGAATCATAAAATGCCTCGGAAGTATTCAAAGTTTCACCAGAACTAGTGTGGCTCTTTGGAAAACTATTGTTTCTCTGTCATCAGAATGGTATTCTTTGCTCGAACACTATAAATATTAACTGTGGCCTTTTCCAAGGGGACTCATCTCCATCTCTTACCCTGATCCCATTAGCGAACGTACTCAGCCGAACTGGCTATGGTTTTGAGATTTGTGACAAGCAAATTAAACATTTGTTCTTTATGGATGATCTGAAGCTGTATGTCCGAAACGATGACGAACTAGAGGGGTTATTGTAGATGATCAAATCTTTTAAGGATAATAGTGGGATGTCTTATGGGTTTGATAAGTGCGAGGATTAAACATTAACGCGGATACGTGTATCAGGTTTGAAGACCGAAACAGGGTTTTTAATACCTGCTCAAGACCAAAGTTTCTACCAGGAACTACCAAGCCAGTATTCTGAAAGAAATGGCGCCAGCCCTAACTGCCTGCCGCTTCTGTGACAAGCATGTTGAAACCATTGACCACCTTGTATATGGTTGCTCTGTATTGACTCTTACAGAGTATAAAAATCGCCATGACCGAGTTTGGCAATACATCCATTGGAAGTGAAGCCAGCACTGCTACTTACCCGTTGCAAAAAAGTGATATAAACATTAGCCTGAACCAGTCAATGAAAAGGACAATGCCTATTCTCTGGGGCTTTGGACTGATTACAGACGGCACAATTCAAGCTAATCGAACTAATATTATTGTGAAAGATTATGCTAACAAGACCTTCTTGACGATAGACATGACTGTACCTACAGATAGAAAAACTGTCAATGTATAAAAATCTTCAAAGCGAAGTTGAAAGAATGTGGCATCTTAAAACAACAGTAATGCCTGTTATTCTAGGTCTCATCAACAAAAATGCATGTGACTCTCTTGCTTAAAATCCCATTAGCATTCAAATTCACGAAATACAAATCTGCTTAGTAAACTCCTCTCACTCTAAGTTCCACTCTTCTCACTCTCGACACTACCTTTAGATATGCATGGATGATCTCTAATGCCAACCTCTCTTTTTTCTGATTGAACCCCAGCAATTGAATTGTAACATTTAGATACTCAAAGGGAAAAAATAATAGCAATGACAATAATGATAATTATGGTGATAACAATAATGGTTATAAAAATAATTACAATCATAATTATTATTATTATTATTATTATTATTATTATTACTATTATTATTATTATTATCATTATTATCATTATCATTACTATCATTATTATCATTATTATCATTATAATTATTATCATTATTGTCATTATCATTATTATCATTATTATCATTATTATTATTATTATCATTATTATTGTTATTGTTATTGTCATTGTTATTCCGATAAACGATGATGATGATGGTTACGATGATAATAATGATGGTGATAATGATAATAATTAGTATAATAATTATTAGTTTTTTTTATTATTATTGTTGTTTTTAAAAAAATGTGAATAATAAGTAGAAGAATAATAATAACAATAGCAATAAAATGATGATACTGATAATGGTACTACTGCTATTAATAATAATAATAACACTAATAACAATAATAATAATAATAATAATAATAATAATAACTACACAGCAGGCAAGAACAGAAAAACACGCGAATATGCCGAAGCCCTTTTGGTTAAATTTGTAGTGTTTATTCTTAGCAACGTCCCCAGGCTTATTAAGAGGGCGTAAAGAGGTCTGCCACCGCCCGCTTGGTACGTTCGGGAACGAGTGTATGATGCAAGAAGGGATGCAAGGTCAGAAGAACTGTGGAAAGGAGTGACAGTAGTGTGCGTGCTTGTGTGTGTGTGTGTGTGTGTATGTGTGTGTGTATGTGTGTGTGTGTGTGTATGTGTGTGTGTGTGTGTGTGTGTGTGTGTGTGTGTGTGTGTGTGTGTGTGTGTGTGTGTGTGTGTGTGAACTGTAGTAGTTGTGAAAATGAGTCGAAGTGAGGTAGGCGTGGTTAGAATCCCGAGGAGAGGCTTGTACAGATGCCTCATCTACACTTTAGGGTTTTTGATTGTTGGCCTTTTAAACTTTAAAAATAAAATAAATTTAGTTATTATGCAGACTACTTTCTTACAAACAGTCGGGGGCTTATCAAAAAAAAGAATTATAAAATTATCTATTTTGTAAAACCAAAGATAAAACAGAACATTAAACGAAACACGAGCACAGTATAACACAAACACTAACGCACAATACAGAGACAAAACAGACATAAATCATTTAAAACACGAAGCACAAACATTTAAATAAGAACCACCTTGTCACACGTAAAATGTAACTTAATCATTTATCTCTGTTGCCGAGACCACCTTATCCTGTGCACCACAATCACAGAGTCCAGCACAAAAACTGGCCTGGAACTCGAACTCGAACTGGACTCGAACTGGCTACTTGAAGCGCCGGGGACAAATTTGCATTTAAAATCTTCCTGTGGTGTATATTACAGTAAAATAAGTCCATAAAATGTATAGAAATGTAAAATGTAGAATATAATATCAAGATAAAATGATAATAAGATTAATAAAGATTAAAAGTTTCTTTTCAAATCATTTTCTATTTGGTGGTCTCTTTCTTTTCCGGCTAAGGTTCGTCTAAAACACGGTCTAAAAATATTTATTAACATACACATAAGAAAATAAAGGTAAAACAAATAAAGCAAACAAAACGAAGCCGCGCAGGTGAGACGCTCCAGCTACGCTTCCCGTTTTCCGTTTTCGCAGCTTCCTCGCCGCGACGGGTATCCTCACCCAAGGGGGATAAAAGCAGGGTTTTTAGGCGGCCTAGATACGTACGAGAATGTAACCTCTGTGGAGGAAGGGAGACGAAAGGATATGTAGGGGACCGTGGGCGACGTACACAGGCGGTCCACTATAAATTAACTTCTTCGAAGCATGAAGAAGCAATAGTCTTTGTAACAGAAAGAAATAGAAGCAGATAATAGCGAAAATAAAGAGCAGACGATGATATTACAAGAAGTATTGACATAATCAAGAGTCTGGTAAGGATACAAAGTTTTGCTTCAACGCTAAAATATTCTCAACGATCGTCGAAAAACTACCCCTAGATCATAACAGTAATATCTAAAAGATGAGTCCGCTAGGATTCTATATAACTGAATAAATGTGTGTGACATATATGATGCACGGCTCTTTCTTTTAACGCTTACTTCCCAGAAACCGAAAGGTGCTGGGACTTATCGGACCACTTGTTAAAAAGGTCTACTGGTCAGGCATTAAAAGACTGCCACTCTTATATTTCATGAACTAAATGGAGACGACAAGCATCGACCAAGCATCTAAGAGCCCTATAAGTGTCTTGTTTAGTACAGTTATTATATTTTGGTCCAGGTTCCTTAATTGGACTTGGCTAAAACTGGAAAAAAAACTAATCTTATAAGTGCTCTTTTTAAATCTCTTGGTGAGCTATAAAACATGGTAATAGTTTGAGCTGGGTTTCTATTACTCAGGAAGCAGTATCAAGCCTCAGAAAAGCAATGAATCATAAGGCTCTGTTGACTCGCCGCTCGATCGTGGGTTTTACTAATGCATGATTATGATAAATATATTTATGATGATAATGATAATGGTAATAAAAATGATAGTAGTAATGATAGAAATGATGATAGTGATGGTAACAATAATAGAAGTGATAATAATAGTGGCAATAGTAATAGAAATGCTAATGTTAATAACAATAATGATAAAGCTTATTATAGTAACAAGATGATGATAATGAAAATGACAATGATAATAACATTGATAATATCAGCAATAACAACAATGATGATAATAGTAATGATGATGATGATAGTAATGATGATGATGATGATGGCGTTAATAATGATAATATTGATAAAATAGTAATGATAGTAATAATGATAACAATAACTACAATAATGATAATGATAATAGTAACAGTAATGATAATGATGATGATAGTAATAGTATAGATAATAATAATGATAGTGTTGATAACAATGATGATGATAATGATAATAATAATAATATTGATAATGATAATAATAATAATAATAATAATGATATTAGTAATAATAATTATGAAAATAGTGATGATGATGATTATAATAACAATGATAATAACAATAATAATAATAATAATGATAGTAATAATAATGAAAATCATAATAATGATAATAATAATAATAATAACAATAATAATAATAATTATAATAATAATAATAATAATAATAATAATAATAATAACAATAATGATAAAAGTAGTAATGATAATAATGATAATGATAACAATAAATATAATAATGATGAGAGTAATATGAATTATAGTAATATAATAGTTATAATAATAATGATAACAACAACAACAACAACAATAATAATAATAATAGTAATAATGATAATAGCAATAATAATAATAATAATAATAATGATAATAATAATGCAACCAAAAATGCCTATAAAACATCATCATACAACAACAACAACAAAAATAATACAGCAGCTCATCCCCTAACCATTGCATAGAATAAAGGGTAGCAGAGATGACGTAACGATGACGTATACGATGACGTCCCAAGCGCCAGCCCCCGGGACCGAGTGCCAACGCCGGCCAGTCACCATGTCGACGTCGGCCAAGAGAGCTGTGTACGTTTTCTCTGTCGTTCCAAGACTGGCACAGCTAGTTCAAGAGGCTTTACCAGATGTTGTTGTGATTAATATCAAGCCTGAAGGTAATGCTATGCAATCGTTACGTGCAATATGTATGACAATGTGAATATGTTGTTTTTTTTAACCATGATAATGGACGGTAGCAACTTGGGATTGGATGAAGAGTCCTTGTCATTTTATTTTAAGCTAAAGTTATTAGAATATCTAAGCAACGATCTCAAGCCACTTAGTTTTGTTTTGTTTTTTATTCAAATCTCCAGCTAGCTAAACGTGTTATCTCAAAGCCTAACTTGATTATAGCAGTGGGTATTCTTCCTAGTGTTTCCAAGGTCATTTTTGGCACCATGATGTGGCACTTGTTTCTTCAAGAGGAGATTGATCTTTACAGATGTATTTGATGCAATAAGCACTTTATGTTTTTTAAGCTCTATATATATTTTTTTTTCTTAAAATTTTGGGCTGGAAGGTTATTTACAGGTATTATTACTGTTTGCTATTATTATTATTATTATTATTATTATTATAATTATTATTATAATTATTATTATTTTTGTTATTATTATTATTATTATTATTATTATTATTATCATTATTATTATTACTATTATTATTATTATTATTATTATTATTATTATTATTATTATTATTGTTATTATTATTATTATTATTGTTATTATTATTATTATATATATTTTTTTAAGTTGTTATTGTTATGTTATTTTTTAAGTTCATATTAATGTTAATATCATTATTGTTATCATTATTATTATTGGCATCTTTATCTTTATAATTACTATTATTGTTTTTATTGTTATTATCATGATTATTATTATTATTATTATTGTTTTTATTATTATTATTATTTTAATGCTGTTATTGATATTTTTATTATTATTATTGATATTGTTATTGATGATATTATTATTAATATTATTAATGATATTATTACTGATATTATTTTTATTGTTATTATTATTATTGTTATTACAATTGATATTATTATTATTGTTATTATAATTGATATTATTATTATTATTAATATTATTATTATTGTTATTTTTATCTTCATCATCACCATCATCATCATTTCTAAACTTTATCTAACTTTTAACCATTTTTGAAACAAAGTCTGACAATAGTAGTCTTATGATAAAAGTTTGTTTGTTTTAAGCATTGAGTATATGCCCAGTCAAACAGAACAAGAATGCTGTTGGTTTGACTATTTTTTATAATTTCACGGTAAAACTAGCAACAAAAGTAAAATTTTCATATTACAAACTGAAAAAGCCATATATATCTCAAGAGGATGATAATGGAAATAAAATATGAAGACAAATCAGGCTAGATCAGCCTCTCCAGATAACGGCTAATAAAAAGTATCTGAATCTTGCTGGAAGAAAGAAATTAATGAAAAAAATAATAAACTAAGATATGAAACTGAAAGACTACTTCTTACTTCTTCCTTGTTTTATTTAAATATGGAATATATATAAAAAAAAAAATATATAGAAATAAGTATTGTATAGGATTGTTTGAAAGGGAAGAATACTATTTTTCTTGATTTCTAGAATAGATGTGTATGGAATAAACATAATTTTTAACTTTACTGCGATACAGGTTTTTGCATAGACCACTTATGACATAAATTAATCTTTCAGATGTCAAAACAGAAAGAATTTATTGATGTAGTAGTGTAGACTTATCTATTTATGGTTCTAAGAATAGGCTTTTAATAGTGAATAAGAAGTAGATCTTTTCTCCTTTTTTTTAAATGTGTATTTGATTTAAATTGTGTGATACAACCTGATCTTTGCATTACAAACAGATTGATCCCCCATTGATCAAGTGCTAATATTATATACTCTTTCAACAGGGCGTGATGCAGGAGGGCAGACGAAAGCTGTAGAGCAGCTCAAAGAGGCTGAAGTCCTCCTGGCAGACAACAACTTTATTGCAGAGGTTTGTACTGTACCAAGCAGTTGCATTGGCTGCTTCAGAATCACAGAGATACAGCACATAACTATATGGTTTTTAGATTATCTTTACTTTTACAGCAGACAGCAAGTTTGTACTGAGATATTAATATTTGGAAAAGTAGCTATATGTAATATAAATATTAACAAGTCATATTTCATAAATATATTTATAGGGAATGAAGTTCTTTTTCATGTTGGATATTGTCTATTGTGTAAATAATCATTTTGTTTCTTTTTCTTGTATTTATGCAGTACATAACTTTAGACATATTTGCTACTATCCCAATTGTACAGAACAGTTTTTATCTTTTATTTTGTAGTTTTTTTCTACTTACTTCTTCACTTCTAATCAATTAATTAACATAATGATGCTTTCAGATAACTCACCTGCTCCCCAAGCTCCAGTGGGCCCAGGGAACTTGGGCAGGAGTTGAGGGACTTGTTGACTTTTTTAGGGATAAGGTGAGAGTTAGAACATGTTCAAAATCAGCATTTCTTACTCTTTGGTATGGATTTTTTAAGCTATTTTAGCATTGTTACAGGGAAACGTAAAAAACTGATAATGCAGTTTCAGTAAATGTGTAGAAGATACCCATTAGGACTCAAGCAGAAACAAGAAATTTCTGCCACAGATTATTGGCCTTTACTAGTCTGCAAAGTGCAGAGTCCATGGCACAGTAAGCCAACCATCAGAGATCAAGTCAAAATATAGAAAAAAAAAATCCCATGTTGAAGGCCCTATAGATGTCACCTAAAGAATTGTTTGATAATTACTTCACCCATAGTTCTCTAAGCTAAATCTGTTGAACATAGGACACACTTAATCTGACACAAAAGAATTACTTGCTTATTTTCCCTTTGGCCTTCTTCCAAAGATTCATTTTTCATACCCAGGGGCCCCTCTGTACTACCAGTGATATACACTTGCTGAGACCAGTTGTTTTAGAATTTTAGAATTATGTTATAAAGTCAGTTATTATATTATGTATTTCTGTTCGTAAAGATTATTGTGTTATGTATGGATGCATGATCTAATTGTACTTTGGCATTCTCAAAAGAAACTAATTTGTTTCCTTTTTTTCATCAGCCAAAGCCAAATTTTCCAATCACTCGTATGGTTGGGGATTCCTTCAGTCAGCTTATGGCAGAGTATACAATTGGTCGCATCATAAGTCATGAGCGAGACTGGTTTGAGTGTCATCAAAACCAGGTAGAATTTCCTAGTTCCTTATGTTCTGTATATTTTGATGTGTCGGTGTCTTGTTCATTAAATGGTTTGATTGTGAATATATCATCAGAGTTGTTCAGTATATCAGTGCAAAACATCAAATAATTTGCAATTGTTTGTGCACATATGTGTATGTGAGGGTTGGGGTTGTTGCATAATTTACTCACTATTTCATTTGTACTAACAGATGAAAGGTTTGTGGCTTCATGAGAAGAAGATTCATTACTACCGTAGTTTACAGGACTTGGTAGTTGGAATACTTGGAATGGGAAACATTGGAAAAGAAGGTAATATTTATGAATACTTATTTAGCTCTTTATATATGAAATCATTAAGATTTCAGTTTCTGTGAATTTCAATTTTATATTTTCTCCCTCTTTTTTCTGCTTGGCTTTATATATATATTAGTAAGTTTGAAATCAGCTGAAATAATTTATATTGGTTGGTATAATTTCCCTTTCAAATGATATATATTTTCTTTTTGCAGTTGCAAAATGCCTCAAAGCATTCCGATGCACTGTGCACGGTTACAGCCGCTCAGTCCCAAGTAATGAGAATAGATGTGGTAGTGTTGATAAATACTGGTGAGTATTATCATTTGCTGTTTATTTTGAAATATTTGCTGTGACCTGTTTTCTGTAAAATATTTTTGAAGTTTGTAAAAACATAAAGTGGATGGAGTATTACATTTTTTTGTTGTCCATGTGAAAGTGTTTATGTTTCAATGAGATTTTTGATGTACAGCATAAGGGAGCCAATTTGTGTAAATAGTGAAGATATAGTACTTTGAAAAAATATGATTTAAGAGATTATTTATAGATTGATTAGTGATTTTATTGGTCATTTATCAAATGAAAAGGACAAATGCACAACATTCTTCCATAGAAAATTAATATTCTTTTTAAGTAATGTTCCCTGTATACTTCCAAAGGCATACTGGAGAGCTTTCATCCCTGTTGAAGGAGTGTGATTATGTTGTAAATATCATGCCATCAACACCTGAGACAAGAGGAATGCTTGGGGGAGACATCTTAAAAGAAGCAAAGTATGATTTAGAAGTGATTAGTAATCTCTTGAGATTTGTATAGCTCTTTTTTCTTTTTTCTTCTGTGAATAATCTTTTCCAGTGCAAAGTATTTTTGTCAGTATCAAATTGATATTACTTATTTAAGAATTTCAACCCCTTAACCCAATGCCACTGGATGGTTTCTCAAAGTAAAAGCCCTCTCTCCTGGGCTGTATTCATAGTGGCCCAGGCCCTGCTGCCAGGGGACCGTGTCAGCACCACAGCGTGTGGTGCCGACACAGTCCCCTGGCAGCACATATAGTCCAGGCATGCCATGACATGTATGTACATGCCAGCCAGTGGCAAAGGGTTAACAGTCAGGCATGTCTGTGAATTTATGTTCAACAGATACTGGGCATTGCTCTCCCTGTCATGTCTCTGCAAACCTGTATGGGCCCCACCGCCTGCCCCATCTCTTTATCATCCTCTGCATACTGCTAGCTGCACAAGAACCCATAAACCACTATATTTACTGATTGTATGCTTTTAGTTCAGTCATATCTACCAAATTTCAAAGCATAAACAGCTTTGCCCCATTACAGTTTTTGTTGACCATGTTCATAGATGTGCCCAGACCACAGGGAAGGGAGAAGAGGCATAAAACCTAGCTGTTAAGGTTTAATATATTCATTCTTTATTTCTTTATATTTTGATGCATTT